CTGAAGCTTACATACTTTATTCGATCCATCTTCGTATCCTGGTGGTTGTACCATGTAAATTTCTTCCTGTAGTTCTCCGTACAGAAATGCTGTCTTGATGTCGAATTGTCGTAGTATTAATTTTTCCACAGCTGCTACTGCGAATATTGCCCTAATTGATTCGTATCTGACCACTGGCGAAAATGTTTCATGGTAATCTATACCATATTTCTGTGAACAACCTTTAATGACCAATCTGGCCTTAAACTTATCGATATTACCGTCACTTTTATATTTGGTTTTGAACACCCATGCATTACGTAACGCAACCTTGCCCTGGGGCAAATTAACTAGTGACCAAGTGTTGTTTCTGTGTAGTGATTTAATTTCATCACTCATAGCGTGCTCCCACTCGTTTTTCTGTGGGCCAGCTATCGCTTCATCACGATTTAGTGGTTCAACGAGATTGGCGACGAACGACGACACATTATACCTGATCGGCGCTTTTAATGTATTCCGATCACGTAGCACCATGCCACTCCTGTTGTCGACCGTCGTCAATTCGACCTTGACCGGATCGTCCTCGACTTGAGTCTGAGTATCTGTGAATTCTAATTTGTCTGCAATTATATTATTCAATTTATTACCTTCGTTTTCGAATATAATATCTCTAGACATTGAAATTCTATTTGTTTTCGAATAATACACACGATAACCTTTCGTGTTATCCGAATAGCCAACAAATATTCCTTTTTCACTTTTAGGGTCCCACTTTTTACGTTTTTGCTTTGGTATGTGTGTATATACGACAGTACCAAAAACTCGTAAGTGTTTAATGTCTGGCATTACCTTGTAATATAACTCGTATGGTGAGTTATTTTTAACTGAACTGGTTCCTGTTCGATTAAGCGTGTAAACAGCCGTGTTTACCGCCTCCGCCCAAAGTGATACATCCAAATTTTTCGCACAAATCATTGTCCTCGCTGACTCTACTATTGTACGATTTTCCCGTTCCACTTTTCCATTTTGCTGTGGTGTGTAGGGAACTGTTAACTGATGTCGAATCCCGTGTTTTTGCAAAATATCCGTAATTTCTTTATTTACGAATTCTAATCCATTATCCGTTCGTAATATTTTGACCTTAGAACCTGTTTCTGTTTCAACACTTTTTATGAACGTCTCAAAAATATTTTTAACATCATATTTATTTTTAATAAAATATACCGTTCTATAATGCGAGTAGTCGTCTTTGAATAACAAAAAGTATTTTGAACCGCCTATAGAGCTTACCTCCATTGGTCCACATAGGTCTGCATGAATTAAATCACCGACATTGTGATACTCCGTATTACTTTTACTAAATGATTTACGACTTTGTTTACCTATTATACAACCGCTGCACATGAATTCGTCGTCCTTGGCCGAACATACTATTTCGTGTTTCGCCAAACAACTTTTTACGTACTGTAAATTCTGATGTGCCATGCGCTCGTGCCAAACAGACAACCTGTTTTCGACAGCTACCGTCGCGTACCCGTTTGTCGGTACTTCGACCTTGATGTTTAACTCAAACAACCTTCCGCATCTCTTACCTGAGCATACGGGTTTCCCCTGTTTAGTTAACATACACGTCTTACTATCTGACGTCAATACTAAACCTTTATCCATCGCGGCTCCGCACGAAAATAAATTAAATTTTAATCCTGGCACGTGCAACACGTTTGCCATGTAATTTTTATTCCAATTACCGTTTACGTATGATAATATATTAATATTACCTCTACCTGCTGCATACAGATTCGTCCCATCACCTATCGTGATTTGTTGCGTGTTGTCCAGTGGTTCATAACTTGAAAACCACTCTCGATTTGCGCTCATATGATCCGACGCGCCCGAGTCTAGTACCCACGCATCTGTTGCAATATTATTTATACTTGACTCGCTTACGAATGCGTTCAAGTTCGCACCTATAGTACCGGTTTTACCAGCGTGTACACTTTGTAGAAAATTTCTACAGTCTCTTTTATAATGACCTAGTTTACCACAGTAATAACACTTAATATTACTTTTATTCGTAAATTGATTTTTACCTTTTCCATAATTACGACTGCCGTTTCTTCCATCAGATCTGTTTTGAAATTTGGCCGGAAATGCACTCGATTTCTCTTGTTCACCAACTTCACCTTTGATCTGGATAACCCGTGATTCTTCAATCAACAATCGACTAGTCAAATTATTTATATTTTTACTTCCCGTCGGGACTGAATCCCAAGCACTGTAAAAATGATTATATTCTTTTGGTAGTGTCATTAGTATTTTTGTCATAACCATGTTATCCGTAACTGGTTCACCCGCTACTTTCAGTTTCCTTCCTAAATTGACCAATTTAGAAATATGCGTCGACATGTCATCTGTCGACTCCTTTGAATAACTGAAAAATTGTTGTTGAAGCAAATGTATACTTGCTTCAGACTTCTGCTCGTAAATACTCAGCAGTTTCTCCCACATTTCCAATGCAGTCTCACAGTTAATCAAATATTGTAATGGACCATCGTCCACTGAGGTAACTATTATTTTCTGACATTTACCGTCCGCTTTTTGCCAAGCGTTTGTATGCCTTTGCCAACGTGCTTTGGCATCCTCGTCGGTCTCTCCTGCCGACTTTTTTATAGGTAGACCTGGTTTCGTCCATTCGCCTGAAACTATCTCACCTACTTCCAAGGCATTTAAAATGACCTTCATCTGGAACTTCCATAACGACCAGTTTTCCGCACATAATTTTGTTATCTTCACCGTGTCTTCCATGACCGATGGATTCCCGTATACTTTCCTGTATAACAATTTATAACAAAACTTTACCTATGTACACTGTTCCGCCGTTTTCCGAAATCCAGGATATCTCCGACTGGTTGTAGTTTTCTGCGTTAATACAAATATAAAAATACTTCGATCACGAATCCACTAGACTGTATGTCTTGGTTATTGACTGGGCCCATAACCTGTTGAAAGTGAAGCTTGACGGACTAATGATGTTAGCATTAATATAATAAGTAATAACACGACAATATGATTATGTATAAGTATAATATATAATAACGTACAACTGGACAATTAAACTGTGACTATACACACACACCGCGTACACTCGGTATGACAGCGTCTGTGCAAGTGAATATTACATACATCAAAGGCCCTATATATATGCACGACCGAGGTCATGTTACATCCGTGAGAGAGTGAGTCTTATGCTCGTACATAACTAGTTACTATATTGTACACACGTGTCAAGGCTGACTACATGTACTACATATTAATTGTATATTTCAACAACTCTGCCTTTAACTTGGGCCCAAATTAGTTCTATTGGATTATACTGACAGTGGTAAGGGGGAAGCCTTACCACTTCATGACCCATTTGGAAAGTTAGTTCATCCAGTTTATATTTTTTTCCGCGTGGCATCGAAAGTTTCACTTTTTCCCGTAACTCGTCAAGTGTTTCTACGGGAGAAAAATCTATATTTTTATCCCGTAACCACCGTTGAACATCTGCTTTTCTACTGTTGGACTTCGGATAGTTCTCGGCCAACGATGAATGATACGACGCGTTATCCATCACAACGATACTCGGCTCTTCTAAGCTAAGTAACATTTGTGAAAACCAACTTTCAAAAATTGTGGCGTTCATTTGCGAATGGTAATCTTTGTCACCAGAATTACATCTAAAAATAAGTTTTGATTCTTTAATGAATCCGAAGGAAGGAGATCCGGCGTGGCATACGATGAGGCGACTGCCTTTGCCTGTAGGTACTTTTAAGCCTTCCGTATTTTCTTCATTTTGCCAAATACGCCCACGAGTATGATTTTGATTGACCCAGGTTTCATCTAAGTAGACTACCGGCCGAGTATCACCGTTCCTTCGAAACTCGTTCATTTTTCTAAGAAATTTAACGCGCGCAGCTACAATATCGGACCGTTCCATCAAGAATTTGCGACCGTCATTACATTTTTTGTACTTAAAATGAAGTTGTTTTAAAATTATTTTCACCGACGATTTTGATCCACGGTAATTTAATTTTTCACGCAGTTCCAATAATATTTTAGCACTTGTTGGAAACTCACCCTTGTCGTAAAAGCTATGGACAACTCTTCTGACCACTTCATTGTCAAAATCATCTAATTCAGTGACAGTTTTCTCACGACTATACCTCTTTCGTGGTGATTGAAATTTAAGGTCATTAGGACTTACGACGCATACTGATTCATCTTGATTTCCTGTTGTTTTGCTTTCATTACATATCCGTTGTACAGTTCTCAGACTTACAGCACAAGCATCGGCCGTCCTCTCCTGTGATTGTCGAAAATAATCGGCCAATTCCGGCTTGTCTTTGCACTTAGCTAAGTTTTTAAAAAATATATAAACGTTGTATATTGTGTTTTTCGTTTGGGAATGTATATCGGGTCGAATTGACATTTCGAAAAAATAATTTATACAAACGATTAGTAAAAAAACACACAAAAAAATTAAAATATTGTACAATATTAAAACAGCCGTATGAAAAAATCACATTAAATTCAAACGATACCAAACAACACATGCACGAAGGGCAGAGGATCGCAGACTAACACATTATGAAAAAAAACTGTTTCTGTACACAATTTGCTTTCAATAAAATAACAATAAGTACAATAAGGTCAATGGAATGCGGTCGCCAGCGCAGATGGCCAGTTTGAATAGAAAAACGCCGCGCTAAACGGTTACCCTCACCCTCACCAGTTTGTAGTACGACATATTATTATGTCTATGGATGTGCCTTATACGATAATAAAATATTTGTGTTGTAAGGTAACACAACATTTTTCATAAAACAGCTAAAACACAACTGCTCAAGCTATGCAGCTGTTATGCATTTAATAAGCAATACTTTTAGAACCCCTGGTTTGCATGAAAACAGCCACCTGGCGCGCGACGGTCACCCGCCTAGTTTCGCTGGCCGCACTATAGTACAAGTTTAGAACCAATAATGAACTCTACTATATTAAAATCAACAAGTAATGAAAAGACTACACCAAAAAATACAAAAAAAGTTTATACAAATTGCATTGGTGATCAAAAAGTTTCCCCATCGGAAATTCGGCCTATACGTAAATTTGATTTAACTAAAATATCAACAAGAAAACGAAAAGGACAACGGGCAGAAGTTTTAACCAGTAGCCCTATTAAAAAATTACAATATGAAAGACTGAAAAATGCAGAAGCTAAAGCGACAAAAACATTACCAAAACGCAAGGTGAAAAAAACATCAAAACAGAAGCCAAATCAAAACGAAAATGAGTCTGAAAGTAATCTCATCTGCCTTATTTGCTTAGAAAAATATTGAAAGGGACCTGAAGGAAAACCCCTTGAAGATTGGATAATGTGTTGTATTTGTGAAAAATGGTACCACGAAGACTGTACATCTTATCTAGGAAGATCTCAATTAATTTGTGATTTCTGTGAAGATGTTGATTGATTAATATTAATTGATTGTATTATTTTATATTTTAAAATTGTTCTTGAGTATTTTATTATTTTATATTTGTTTAATAACCACTAAAAAGTATTTCGTACATCTCATTATTAAGACTTACTTTATTTTTATTTTTTTTAAATGGTTCTTTTATTTTTATTTAAGTAATAATAAAAACTATTTTATATTTCTTAATGCATGTTTACGAAGGATTAAAGTTATTTTATTTGTTTGAGATTCGTGTTTTAATTATTATTTTATTAAAAAATATAGTATAGTTTCTTTTTTTTACTTGATACTGAACTCGTTTTCACTTTGCCTGGATACCCGGGTAAAGTGAATAATTAAATTTTTTTTAAAAAACAAATTATTGCTCACTAAGGGTTATGTTATTGTAGATTCCAAGTTCAAAATTCTTAAAATTAGAATAACTACTAAACATTCTCTATTATTGAATTAAGTTTAAAGCTATTGTTTAATGTTATTTTTTGGTTTTGAATTTAACATATTCACTTTGCCCGGGTCTCCCCTACGGGGTACCCCGTAAAATATTTATCCACTACTACACTTGTCTAAACTTCAAATACTTATAACTCATACTAAATTCCATTTGTATGTTTCAAAATACTTAGGAAAATATTCTGCTTTGGAATATGAAATTAAAACTCTATGTTGTCATTCAAAAAAGTAAAAAACTTCAAACATTATTAGGATAAAAAATATTTAAAAAAATATTTTTTAATAAAAACGTTTTTTTTTGACAACTTGAAACTATGAAAAAAAATATTTTCAAAAACATTAATACTTTATCAAGATAAATTCAATGATAAAAGAATCGCAATAAATATAAAGTTAAATAAAGTTGTTTCCTTAAATCTTACAAGGACTTAAGAATCTGAATATCTAGATTTTTCACTAGGAAATTATGATGATGTTCCAGGAGAAAAAGTGTAGTCAATACTATCATGTAAATGTAGACAAAATTTAAAAATATTATATTAAATAATTATTATAAATGGATCTCTATATAAAAAATATTAATAATCATATGAACTTACCAGGTGAACAAGTTAATGGAAGAGCTGAAATGTATACAGTATGATTAATATTCAGTTTAATGAATATTCAAAAAATGATACAAATTTGAGAAAATATCATAGAGAAATTTACTTTATCAATAATCGTGATTTGTTAAATTTTGATAACAAATTATTAAATATAATTGCGGTTAGGGTCAGGGACGGTTACCAATTTAAATGTTGGACATACAATTGAGGTTATGTTTATAGATTTTATCACTGTCTTAAAACCATAGATAATAGCATAGACATATGAGACCTTAGATCATATACCATTGATGGAGCCACGGCGTATTTTTTTGTTGCCGTTATCATCGACGAGTCTCTTGATTAGGTGCTCGATATGCGCATGCGTGAGGTTAATCGTCGCATATTTACCAGTTGCGGAATCAGCTGATATCAGAACACGGTATTTTAATTTTAATTTTATTTTTTCGTGTATTATACGCGTAATTTGTATTCAAGACTTAAGTATGGTATAATAATTTTTTGTAGTACATCGTATTATACACATTTTATACGGTATAAAATCCTGTATTAAAAGATATGTAAATAAGTAAATTTGAAATTTCATAATATTATACAATTTAAACTTGATTACTCAACGATTGTCGATTTCCCATTTGAAAATTGAATCTTATTAATAAAAATTAATAAAATTATATAAATAAAAATGTTGTTCACTAAGCAAAATGCATAAAATGTCAAGGTTAATTTGTAATATTAGTTTTTGTAAAATTAATAAATCCAGATGATAAACATACGACGAGTAACCTCGCGCATGCGCTGATCAAGAGACTCGTCGATGATATCGGCAACAACTTTTTGTGTGGACCATATATATTATATATATATATATATATATGTTGTATATATCTATGGTGTAGACATAATACGCCGTGGCCCCATCCATAGTATATGATCTAAGTATGAGACAGTGTCTGTCTTTAGACGCTCGTAATAAAAACGGTTTATATCACTACAACTATCATGGCTGAAAAATATTGTGGCGAACCAGTGCCTTCGCCACATACTCCCTCCCCATGTCGGTCGCGCTCCCTGCGTTGGCAACACCGCTCGGCCCTCCGCGTCGTTCGCGACCGCGAAGTGTCGGGCGGCCGCCAACGGGCTCTCTCTCGGCAACCGTCAACCGACGTACACGACGTACACAGTCCGTCCCGCCGCCATGTTTTGTCCTCGAGCCACGAAACGCACGTGACCAACCGTTTCCTCCGATCGCCGACCGACTCCTCTGTAACCTTTTATTTGTAACGTGTATTTTTCGTCTTTTAAATAAACCGCGCATCGCGCGCCTTCAACGTCATTCGCGTACCTACCTATTCATTTATTTAAACGTTGGTGTTTGACCGTGATAACGGTACAAACGCCACAATATCATATCAGTTTGGTTTGGAATAAACAACAAATTACATTATCACTGGCCACTTAATTTAAAAATATTTAAATTTTTAATATTACATCACAGAATAAATCAAGAATCAGAATAAATTACTTTTTAAAAGTAATTTCTATCGAACGCGTTACAATTTCGAATTATTAGGTACCTACCAACCTACCTATTGCGAATTGAAAAAAAATATATGTATAATGCCGGTATTATTATGTTTACCAATCTAATAACATATAATATACGTATGTATATATTTAATTTTTACTCAGCACAGTTCAGTTTTCAATGGATTTGACATTTGAAATGTCTATTTGCACCGTAAATCACGAGAACAGTTAATTAAATTTATTATTTATTTGTTTCTTTTAAATAGGTTGTCTATGAATATAGCTTGTGTGGAAGACTACATTTTATATGATCCTATTAACTATATAGGATTTATAAAGAATTTGCTTGTACAATTTGCCTGCAGAAGATAATTGCCAAGAAATTTAAAAAAAAAAATTTAGTAACGAGTAAAGTAACTTGATTACCTTTTAAAAGTAACTTACCCAATTCTGATCATTACATAGGTACAAATAAAATTACACAACTGACTACTGACTACTGAGTATAAATGTAAAATGTATAATATAATGACAGGAAAGGTTATTACAATAAATGGCTAGTACTAGCAATATTCAACGATTAGAATTTTGTTATATTAAACACATCAGTGTAGTAACTCAGGTGTTTACTCTATTTTAATACCTTAATATTTTCATAATTTGGTGGTTGTTACATAACACATTTATACCATCATTAGGCCTTCAGATATGCATTATATTGTATATTACTATTATGAAGCTAATTATTATTTGATCGTTTGATTATTTATCTAATAATGTTAAATATTAGATTAAAAATATTGAAGCTACCATATAATATCGATGAAAGTATGTACTATTTTAAATTTTGAACATCGTTATCGTTATATTCACGCATATCTTTAAATTACAAGACACATACAAATTAGTAACTCCAATTAATAGACGACTATAATGATGACCAGGAAATTAAAACGAACTGAATAAATTAAATTTTTTTTAATATGTAATAGTATATACTAAAGTAAAATAATTTTACTGCTGCTGCTGCTGCGTTTCCTGCAGCTGCTGCTGCGGTTGTGGTGGCGGTGGTCCCTGTAGACGCTGCAGAGCAACCAGGGCAGCCTATTCCTTAAGTTTTGTCGCTAAGGAAATGATGCCCCGCAGCTTTCGCTGCCCTGGCTGCTCTATCCGCAGCCTCAGCAACAGCATCTTATGCGGCTGCGGCGGCGCGCTTTGCAAAGAAGCACTTGGCGGCGGTGTGCCCCCGCTTGAAGCAAACTGTGCATTCTAGAAAATTAAAGGAATTGAAATTAAAACATATCCATGATGAAATGTTAATTCGTTTTTTAATTTAAACAATTTCAGAAAAAGGAATACATCATTTCATTCCTCAGATTGTGAGACATAAAACATATTTTATTCTTGTGGGAAACTAAAACAAAGTTAACGCAACTAAAGACGTACATACAAGAACATTTTGAATAAGTTATCTTCTATAGGGATACTAAAAAATGGATAATTAACAGGTAGATAAAAGATAAAAGCTCCTTTCCCTGAATACAGTGATAGGTATAAATTATATAAAAGTTATAAAAAAGTTTATGGTTATTAGTTCAAAATTCAAATTAATGAATTAGGCACTTGGTATTGAATACCAAGGTATAAAAGAAAACATTATTTACACATGTTTTACATTATATAAATTTTCCCTAGATAGAACTAGACTATAAAAACAATTAATTAGCATTATATGATAATAATATATACTTACTATTCCTGTTGCGGCCTTTACCGCCACCCGCGCCACCACGACCGCCTCTGCCACCACCACGACTACCACCGCCACCGTGACTGCCACCCCCACCACCATCCCCGTAATTATATATATACGTTGGCATCTAAACAGTAAACATAAGTTAAATTATATGCATAAAGCTTATATTATAATAAATGAGACCAAATATTTCAATATGTATACAGTATACTACAATAAATTAGTTATTTATATCAAATTAATGTTGTTATTTTGCAATATAAAATATAAATAATTCAAGTTCGTCGTTAGACTCCGTACAGTCAACACGTACCTTATCGCGTCTCACGAGTACCGTTTTAATAGCTTCCGATAGCAGTACGTTATACAATCTACACTCGCCGTATCTCAGGTAATATGCACGTTAATTACGCTATTAGCTAATATACAATAAACTCACCGGGCGCAAAGCCCAACCACCAAAATGCAAACTTCAAAACCAGCGGCTTTGAAAAGCCCTTCAATCCGCAAAACTGTAC